TACCACACATTTAGATTGAAAATTAGGACAACTATAAATGTATAGCTTACTACATATTACCTAAAACCAATTTTGTTTCTATTTTTATATAGTTTAAACATTTAAAATATATCAGTAATATATAAACTAATAGCGGATTAAGTATTTTCGATTGAAGATGCATCTAGCGGAGACTACGTGAACTGTCGCGAGCCTCGACGGTAGCGCATCTAGCGGTGATTGACTGAACTAGTCTCAAAACTCCTCGCCGTGAAAATACTTTTACATCGACTATTAATTGCTATTAGCAAATTTCCCTACTGTATTACCTTAGGTGGCACGGTAACACCTAGGCCCGGGACCGATTAACTTTTTCTATTGATGTCCCTAGAGGCCAAAACACATTCGTTCAAATTTTCACATATGTATATAATATATATAGAGAGAGAGAGTTATATGTGTCCGTTATGGTGTAAGGCAAGTTAAACTTGAATGAGTTCGCGAACCAGCATGATCGGACAATGGGAACCCGGGGCTGTTTAACGGAGGGTTTTATGGGGTAAAATGGGATTTTCTCATTTTTTTCCATAAAACACAAAATTTAGGCTATAAATTATTCTCTAGACCTTTGTAATTAGTTTAAAAAAATTATTTCGTACATCAATGTGTTTTTCGACGGTTATTGGTAACAGGTTTATTAAACATTTCTATGTTATTCTTATGGAGAATATTGTAAAATGTTCTAGTTTTCTTGTTTATGGATATATTTTGATAAAACTTGGCATATTTTTATTTATTTATTTTATACAAAGCTATTAATATTTAAGTAAAAACACACTTTATTAGTTTCCCTTTAGCAGCAAACCTAGGTACTTAAATCTAAAATTATTTAAATAGATCTATCTATCTATAAGATTAAAACGAAACATGGTTTTTTATTTCACGATTTAGTCGAGGCGCTGAGGGGGTTTGAGCATGCATAAAAGTGTAACGAAATTTGACTTTTGATTGTTGCTATGGGTACCTAGTAGATAAAGAAAATCGATGTTGTCACATTTCTAGGTGGTTAATAACATGGGGGGAGGGGGTGAAGTTGGGGAGCCGCCCGGGGGGCCGCCGCGCACAAATTAGCTTATATCTCGTGAACCAAAAGTCATAAGAATACGTTAGACACGTCAAACTGTGCAGAAAAATGCATTCTACGAATAGATTATGTAGTAGTTTCACAGAAATTGACAAGAAGTTACTAAAAATTATATTTTTTAAATTTACGATAAGTATAATCAGGAGTATAATGGTTTTTGTTGTTGTTTAGAACCATTAATTTTTTAATTGACAACTTTTGAGAGTAGTACACTATAGGTAAATAGTACTTCTGTATAATGAAACAATTGCGGTACATAACTTAACAGCTATTCAATCCTCAGATCCAATAAACATAACACAAACAAAGCGGCCAAAGCGCAACAAGCGCGAGCTGCCGGCGTCAACCGGCAAACAAGTATGAAGAGAACATTAAGCCGGTTCCGGCAACCGGCTCAGTCCGCGAGTGGTCTCTGTACTGTGCAGTTGGTGGGTGTCATAGCGCGATGGTTGATACAGATGATCCAAAGTTTATCAAAAGAAGGCGATTTGGGATAAACGGGAGAAGTTGCACGATGATGCTTTTAGTTGCGGAAACAAGTGATGGTATTCACCAAGTTTCTTCCTATGTCTATTAATAACATGAACACCGACTTTCCTCCTTTGCAATAATTTAACATGAACACTCTCCGCCAAAAACACATCATCACTAGACGAAGACATCTTTGACACTGCTCAACGTGAACTGACTTGTCGCGCTTGTTACCAGCTTTCTTTATGTACGGCTTCAAGCTTTTGCCGCGCTTATAAGCACGAGGAGAAAGCTGCCGGTTTGCCGGCGCCGGCAACCGGCGTTCTTTGTGTACGCACCCTAACTATTAATGGCGAGTACAGTTCAAGCTGAGACTTTTATTATACTTTTAGAACGATGGAGATTCTGAGGATTCATTTTCATATATATAAAATAGTATTGAGGGACTATTATGTAGCGAGAAATATAGTTTGTAAAAGAAGAGAGTTAAAAAAAAATTGGTATTTGAACGTTTCCATCACCTGACCATGCTGCACAATTGGTGCAACAGCTGTTTCGGCGATCGCGTAAAGGTAGTGTAAACGATACGAGTAGAAAATGTTAAATACAAGCCTTGGCGAGTGCCTTAAAAACTTCTACGAGCGTCGTTAACACTATTTACGCGAGTTGTGTGCATTAATTAACCTGCAACTGTATTTTAATTACCAAAAACCACTACTCAAAACTTAAAAAGAGAGGTTATTTTTTCTTTACCCATCATTGTCTCTGCCAGTAATGCAACGAATCATCGCACCAATCGTTAACAAATAAATTGACCTGAACAGCTGAAGTTATAGTTGAAGTTCGAAGCATTATAATTTTACTTCTTATCTCTCAATCCTTGACCCTATCTGGGTACCAGTGGTGGTTATATTTTGGCCCTTTTGTAGTGGTACCATATAATTCACCAGAGAACAGTTACATGCCCATATAAGTAGACATCTATTATATATTATGTTTCAGTGATAAATGTAGAACATAATAATATAAAAATATATATTTTTCAGCAATGCTTTTAGGCGTAGTAGCAAGAGGTTTGCAAATTTTTGGATTATTCAACTTAGAAATGTCTAAATCAACCCGCAAAAATCATAAAAATAATGTTTTTATCCATATTATCCAAATGTTAAGGTTGTGTAAAATATGATTCCTTACGTAGAAATATCAAAGTTTTTTTTATACGCATAAAATTAAAATTATAAAAAAACTACCAAACTATTTTAATTAACAAATTGTATTTAATTGTTGTATGAGAAATAAATTTATTGCATCAACAGTAAATAAATATTATACTGCTGTAACAATTTAGTATTTTCACAAAAATTTTCAATAGAATAATTTAATTTTTACCATATGTTTTTACTTTTATCAATATGTCAATCCATCTCTCTTTATCAAACCTTGTATAATGTATGGACAAACAGACCAATAGGTAATTGATTCAATACATTATAATATAGAACATTTTCAAATAACCTTATTTCATGTAAATATATAATAACCTATAACTTTTTGTAACAAAGTTGCTTCAATTTCAATATAATTTTACTTAAATAACTTGTCAAAATTCAAATTTAGCTCTATGGCAAATGAAAATTGTTATAATATATGTGTGAACAGTGGGCTACAATTTTCCGTGATAAAGTCAGCATTGACATATGTGAATGCAACAATGCATCAAACCTTCCTCACTTCTAAGAGTGCTGAGCTAGTATGAAGATATAAATTTGTAAACTGCATATTTTAATATAATTTTTTTTTTTTTTTAAGTGCGTATATTTGGAATAAATTAGTGAAATTTGATTAACGAAGATCCGTCCTTGTTACAAACATTAATAACTACACAACATCAAGAAATTTAACTGTGAAGAAGACATCAATTTTGGTGGGATCACTCCAGTAGACATTTTCTTTCCTTGGATCGAAGCCATTACAACACTTTTAAGCCTAACTTTTGAACTTTTGTACCAGAATTTAAAAGTCAAGAAACTAATAGAAGCTTATATAGAACATAAATTAATTAACCTTTCAGAAAATAATTCGAACATAATTTATATTTAAAAAAAAAATTTAATTAGGCTATATAAAATCACAAGATTAAATTCAAACGCCGTTCGATCACCCCACCTGAGATAAAGTTCCATGCAATATAACCCCTCAACCTAAATTAGAACTATTGTAATAGGCCTAGCCTAAAGCTTAATTTAGTAAATTCATTTGCCACCATTTGTAAACTTTTATTGTGAATCCTTAGTTTCTTTTCTTTTACCATCAATTTTGTATTGTAATGAAATAAATTTAAGTTTAGATACTGTACATGGAGTTTCCATTGTAATGTGAAATGTTAACATTTTTTTACGAAAACATAATTTTTATGACCTTTCCAAAACTACATGAAATTGTTATAACCAACCTCAGATTCGGAGATGTATAAATTGTAGGGAATTTATTGCAGTTTCAGATGGTGATGGAACGATCCACCACCAAAATATATTTTGAACTCTCTTCTTTTACAAACTATATTTCTCGCTACATAATAGTCCCTCAATACTATTTTATATATATATGAAAATGAATCCTCAGAATCTCCATCTTTCTAAAAGTATAATATAAGTCTCAGCTTGAACTGTATTCGCCATTAATAGTTACGGCAGCAGGAACAATGACCGCGACGCGTTTTGCGCCTTTGTTTGTGTTATGTTTATTGGATCTGAGGATTGTATAGCTGTTAAGTTATGTACCGCAATAGTTTTATTATACAGAAGTACTATTTACCTATTGTGTACTACTCTCAAAAGTTGTCAATTAAAAAATTAGTGGTTCTAAACAACAACAAAAACCATATACTCCTGATTATACTTATCGTAAATTTAAAAAATATAATTTTTAGTAACTTCTTGTAAATTTCCGTGAAACTACTACATAATCTATTTGTAGAATGCATTTTTCTGCACAGTTTGACATGTCTAACGTATTCATATGACTTTTGGTTCTCGAGATATAAGCTATTTTGTGCGCGGCGGCCCCCCGGGCGGCCCCCCAACTTCACCCCCTCCCCCCATGTTATTAACCACCTAGAAATGCGACAACATCGATTTTCTTCATCTACTAGGTATCCATAGCAACAATCAAAAGTCAAATTTCGTTACACTTTTATGCATGCTTAAACACCCTCAGCGCCTGGACTAGGAAGTCTACTTCATCATCCAACAATCCAACGTAATCGTCCACGATACATGTTGTAGATTTTATCATTTTATTGAGACGGGGACACTATACTAAATACGACCGGTACTTTAGAATTGAGTGCATGATGGAGTGATATGCCTTATGCCTGTAAAGGAAAAACGAATAAAAATAATATTACCTGGACACGAGCCTCTGACAGGTTGATCCTGAGGGCGACCTCTTCCCTCAGGAAGACGTCGGGATAATGCGTCTTCTGGAATAGGGACTCCAGCTCTTGAAGCTGCTGGGGGGTGAAGGTAGTTCTGTTACGGCGCTGTAACAAGGGAATGTGTTTAGTATATAGCATATACTATAGAAGATACTTTAGATTATATAATCCTAAGAGTAACGTCTGTGTGCTCAATGATTTGAAAAACTGCTCCAACGATTTCCTCTAAATAATTGTTAGAAGATATCTTATTTTTAAGCTAAAAACAACATCTATGATAGGCAGTCTGGGAAAGCTGTAAGAGTAATATTAATATTTTTAATATTGGTCTAAAAAATGGCAAGTAGCATTGGTAGAGTTTTACTAATACAGTAGTCCAGTCTTGGTAAGATTTTAGGCGCATCTCCTGGTAAGCCATAAGCCATGAAACTGGTTACTTCGAAGATAAAAAGTATTATTGTTAATTTCTGTACAAAAATGATTTAAAAAAAATGCAATTAATATACCTCTACAATTTGTAAAAGTATTCAATTCTTCTTGAAAATCTTTAAAATAAAGTCCATGTACATTACAGAGCATGAGTGCATTGATATTAAACTATAGATTAAGTCGAACCTCTATAAGATGAATTTCAACGGTAGGGGGGAAATTGTATTATCGAGGTGAATTTCGTTTTATCGTGGTATAATACTGCCGTTATTCGTCTTATATAGGTTTAGGTGTGCTGTATGAGTGAGTATCATCAAAATTTGTACATCTTCCCTCAATCATTAATTTAAACCAATTAATTAGACGTTTATCATCCTAAAATATGACCAAATAAAAAGCTTCTGTATGGCCACGGAGGGATATAAAGTGCGCTTTGCAGATATTGTAAAACAGGGGGCCAATTACTATAATTGTTGTGTTGAGCTTATAGTCGTTTATGTAATTACAGGTCTTAATGTACAATTCATAAACGTATTCTTTTTTGAAAAATATCTTAGGCTATGTTGTCGAATAATCATTATTAAGGATGACCGTTCCACTGTCGTGAATTCCTCTAAAAAATAACTTTTAAATTATGAAATTGGAAATACCAAATTAAGTAATTTTCTACTAGGAAAAGTCTAATGATAGCCTTTGGTTACAATTTAATGTACTGTAGTTAGTTTCAGATGGATTTTAAAATGTGTATAAGGCTCATGAGTTAGTATCTCTTGATTTTAATTTTGTATTTGATATTGTTCGGGGAAAACTGATTTTCTATTATTTAATAGTTTAACTATTCGTTAACTTATATCATTACCGTTAATATTTTAAGTGACAAATTTATTTGTATTTTTAGGAGTTCTCTGAAACTGTTTTTAAATGCATGTTTTAAAATACATCCAGTTCGTTACAACCACATATTTAAATGAATATCAACTAAAAGTATTGCTTAAATTTATATTAATTTTGAAAATAATCAAATTAGTTATTGGCTTACAACTCATTCTGTAAAAAGTTCTAATACATTAAATTACTTGATTTGTAAAATATTGTAAATACTTCTAGTTTGGCATTGTAGCGTATACAATTAAAATCATGTAGGAATAAATTATTGAGTATTTCAACCAACTACCTAAATTTCAGTTACCCACAATGGAAACTATATCCAAACATTTTAAATGTAAATTAAACTTTATAAATGTATATAATATACCAAAGAAGGATGCCTTTACGTCGAGAGTTTAATATCAGTTTTGAATCATAATTTGATTTGCATTTACTTACCAGTTGCTCCTGTTTACAATAACATATACACGAGTAATGGGGAAGGATAAGAATACTTAGGGAATTTATCATTATAACGCATACGCATTGATTAAATTCAATAAGAATTTTTTGTTGGGTGGAGTCAGTTATTATGATGAAGCAGTCTTGGTAATCCATAGTAAATAACTGTAATTTATAGTCTGGAAACTATAATATAAAGGTCCATATTATAGACGACTTCATTAAGAATACAACAAAGCTTAAATATTTTTGTATTTAGTAAATACTATTGCACGGATTCTCATCCACTATTAACACTTCATCAGCAAAAATAAAAATACCCCCTTCTCTTTCATCTTTCCTTAAATTATGGCACATAAAAAATAAGATGTTTAAAACAATTTTAACAAATCTAACAAGTTTTACTTTTTTGTTAACTTCTGTAATGATTATAACATACAGAAATTTAATGCTGTTCATCTATCTATATAGGCCTAAATGAAATTGGAGTTTGGTCTGTACATTGCTCAATATCATAAATGTTTAGGTTATTTTTACGTTTTATACATTAAAGAAGCCGAAACAAGTCTCATCTCCAGAGAACTCCAAACCGTGTATTTGTTGTTTTGTTAAGTCTTGTTTTGTTATTGTTTTAAAAAATTTATTATGGTTTTCATCTTCATTGTTGATATGTTTTTCTTGTTCTTGTTATTGTAATTTATTCAGAATAGCCTTTATTTGTTGTTATAATTTGAGTTTGATAGCTTACTACTTACTGTACCTCTTGTAAAAATGGTGTTACCGTGGAAATAAATGAATTGAATCTCAATTTCTGTCTGTCTATCTGTCTGTTACGGCCCAAGAGCCATTTTACGCGGCCTTCTCCTGAAAAACGCGAGCACCTATCAAGATCCAAATAATTTTAATGTATTCTCTGGATTGGCGAGAGTGTCTTTAGCTATTAAAATATGGCATCATTACATTTTAAATAAAATTACGGACGTTTAAAACGCCAATTTTGTGCGATTTTGTCATGTTTTCTCCCAATGTTTATCACATAATCATCTATGAAATAACGAACAGCTGTTCAGATCAAGATTATTTTTTCTATCTGTCACGGATATGTTTACATTGAATGTTATTTACAAATACCGCAATCATTTCCGATCGCTTTTTGAAAGCAAATCCAAACCAAGTGAGATTAAAAACGTTTTTCCTTACATAACGGATTTAATTAATCGCAAGTGCAATAATGTGTAGGGTAACTGTAAGTGAAAATAGAGACTCTTTGTGTAAAAAATAGTTCTTGAGTTTTGATAACCGGGGAAAAGACCTTGAATCAGTGTTGTATATAACTGGGGAACTTATTTTTTTTTTATAAGCGTTACCAATAGCTTATAATAAAAAGGTTTCAACTCATCGACAGCACTTCAATGGCGGCTGTGTAAAGTGAAAACTGCAGTGGGTGATTGTAACGGAGGTTTACGGATTATGCTCTACTCGCTTTTCCAATGTGTCTTCTCACCGCTATGTGCTGCAATCGCTGGACCATACAGCCAATAGGCCAATTGCCCATCTCTTGGGTTCGTGGGCCTAAACAATTATTCATAACCAAATTTCGACTAGGATCCTTGATACCGGGACCTTTACCTAGAATACATGGCCTACCTACTTAGGAAACTAATTTAAAACGTTCAAAAACCCAACATTGTGTGATTTTATCACATTTCCTTCTAATGTTTACTAGATATACCAAACATAGTTTATAGAATACGTCTTCTATTAAACAGCAAAAAGTTGTTAGGATAAGGTTGGTTTTTTTTTCAAACTGCCACCGATATGTTTACATTTTAAGTTGTTTACAAATCATGCAATTAATGGGAAATAACTTTGATTTTTGATAATTTGTTGTGAAAAAATCCAAAACCAAGAGAGAGATCAATCCCCTTTGATAGTGAAAATTTCAACCGGAATATTTAATGGTGAGGTTGAGGTAGTATTTGAACTACTTTTAACCATTGTGGAAAGTAGCTTTCAATTATAGGCCTACTTTAGGGCTATGCCTCATAGAACTGTAAAGCATTCTTTGACTTGAAACTGTCAGATACTGTATTTGTTTTTGTTTATATATAATAGTTTGGCCAGCATATATGAAAATATGCAAACCAACTGCTGTTCTTGATATAAGAAGGTTTCAACTGACTACTATAAGATCCCGTGCGTAGAACGGGCACACAGCTAGTATATCTATATAAATAAAATTAGAGTTTCATAATAAATTAGCAAAAAGTATACAAGTTAACACTGTTACTATAGTGAACGCTATAACAAAGAACAAGAGTTGGTAGGAATCAAGGATTCTTCCACTCTTCATTTAAGTAAGGCAATGATAAAGAATTAATGTTAAATACCAACTCTAACATAGAACAAGAAAAATAATCTTTCCGCTTGTTTAAGTAAGGTTTTTTAAACAATAATGTTTAATGACAACAATTACATAAAAGAAGAACGAGAATGAGTCCACTTGATTTTAGTAAGGAAGTTGTGAAGCATCAGTGTTTAATAGGCTATTTATAATGTTGTTTTATAGCCAGTAAGTGTTTAAGTACTGTAAACTTGCACTCTGCATTAATCTATTTGCTACCTCATAACACAGTTTAATACTTTAAATAAAAGTTATATTAATTGAACAATGATATAACTCGGCCACTTACCTGTCTTCGACGTCCGAACATATACTCTGAGAGAAGGTCTCCAGGAAGAGGTGATAGGAATGGTCCAGCCATCGCTACTAGGGGCAGCTCACCCTCCGCGACTCTTATACCCCTAGCAAGCCCCGCCCCTAACGCTCATTGGTCCAACTCAACCAATCACGGCGCGGATACAACTTCTTGTAAATGTTTAAATTATAAGATTCCGTCCTGAATATTTCCATTGTTGGTAAAGGGATGACTACATTGTGAAACCCTTCTAATTATAGTTCTTTGTTCTATATTTGATTGCTTTGAAAATTAAAATATAACTTGAGCTTGCTGAAGCTCGCGTGCTGCTTTAGCTTGAATTGTTAGGTTTGTGGAATTGGATAAATTATGTGGTATAATTTTTATGGGATAGTTTACGTAGAGTTTATTTGGGTTTATATGGGAGCTAGGGTAAGAGTTTAAATTGTAATTTTTACAAAGCTACATAATACAGTTTGAAAATCGATAATGGGTCAAACAAGGGACCAAAAGAGTGCTGGACTACCGAAAATTATTCTAAATTTGACTTACTGGAAAATAAATGTATAGATCCTTTTTATATTATAGACATTTTTATATATAAGACAGGGGTGCTCTATCTTAACCCATTATGGGTGCCATTTTTATTTTTTATCATCCTGAGAGAGCCATGTAAAAACATACACCAACAACCCCTGCATTCCTACTTGATAGAGGTTGCTATTTAAAAAAAAATTAGTTACCCCCAGAACCCCTATTTGGGGGTGGGAGGTGAATTTAAAAATACCCCCAAAAAGTACTTTACATTTCCCTAGTAACGTGTATTGAAGCTCGTTTGGATACTGTATATGCAGCCGTTTAAAAATTAACCAGTGGGGGACTATTATGGGACACCCGGTATACTCACTAAACTCTTAGCCCTAACACTCAAGTTGCTTACCATTTGATAGAGCTGTTGCGTCAATGCTATTTATTTTGTACGAAATAACTTATCTATGTACAACTTATGTATGTCGTTGAAAAAAATTAAAAAAAATAATTGGAATAATATCTTATTTTCTCTGTGCTTTTGTGTTGACTATTGATATAACTTCAAGATGTTGACATCCCATTCTTCTGTTAAATTGAATTAATTTATTGACCTACATTCAAATGGAATCGAGCGAGTAATTCATTCTGTATAGAAAACAGTTTACTTTCCTACACGCGCCTTTTTATACCTTTCAAATTGGGAGTGGTTTATTGATAACGTTTCCACATTTCATTCCTAATCAGCTCTCACAGATATAAATAAACAGTTTCAGCAATCTGACACATACTTTCTTGCAATAGCTTGTGAGCAACCATTATTCATGGGCTTCTTAACGTCATGTGTAAGTGGTTGGAGTGACTATGATATTTTATAAGGAATATCACAAAAGTTACAATAACTTATGAACCGTAATTTTTAAAGCTATGGGTGGTTGCACTATTTTGTTTGGAATTACATATGAGGGCCATCAAATACTAATTTTAACTATACAGTACTAACATACTAAGACTTCACCCAACAAAAAATTCGTATTGGATTTAATTAATGCGTATGCGTTATTACGATAAATTCCCAAAGTATTCTTATCCTTCCCCATACTCGTATATGTTATTGTAAACAGGAAAAACAGGTAAGTCATTGAAAACCATATTAATTATGAATCAAAACTGATAAACCCTCATCGTAAAGGCACTCTTCCTTCGTATATTACATACATTTATAAAGTTTAATTTACATTTAAAATGTTTGGATATAGTTTCCATTATTGGTTACTGAAATTTAGGTAGTTTGTTGAAATCCTCACCAATTTATTCCTACATTATTTTATCAAGAAGAAAATACTCCATTCCCAATACAAGTCCACTCTTCGCACCTAGGATTATGTCAAGTTCTCTACGGCTCGTTCCCAGTGTTAGATCCTCACAAAACAATGTTATGATAACTATATCAATCATGTGAACTCAGCCATCACCCCAAACCCAAAATCTTTCTGGGGGTTTATTAAGAGCATGACGTCATCCTCCGCCAATGAACCATCACTTACATACAATGGTTATTCATCACAGTCACCTTCCGAAATATGTAACTTGTTTGCTGAATTCTTCTCATCAGTCTACAAACTTCCTTCCTCTTCGACTTCTCGTTATAACTTCGGAAATCAAATGAACCTGTCCTCAATCGTGCTTGAATCATCGGATGTTGAGAAGAAGCTTTCTGAACTCAACCAATTCAAGGGTACTGGCCCTGACGACATACCTGCATCTGTTTTGAAACACTGCTCAAACTTACTTGCCCCCCAACTTACTGTACTTTTCAACAAGAGTCTTCAAGCCGGGATCTTTCCTGATGCACTCAAAGAAGGCTACGTCGTGCCAATTCATAAATCTTCATCCAAGGGAGAAGTCACAAATTATCGGCCAATTGTTATTCAACCTGCTCTGGGCAAAGTATTTGAATGCCTTCTCATCGACAAACTTATGTTCCACTTACAAGCTCTGATTATCCCTGAACAGCATGGATTTATAGCGGGAAGATCGTCTCTCACCAACCTAGCTCTTCTCCAACATTTAGTCACCTCTGCCTTAGCTTCAGGTAGCCAGGTTGATTGTATATACTTAGACTTCTCAAAGGCATTTGATACTGTCAGTCATGAACATCTTATTGCAAAGTTGGAGGGGTATGGGATCTGCGGCAGTCTACTCAGTTGGTTCAGCTCCTATTTGAGTGGCAGATCCCTCAAAGTTAAATTCAAGTATGCATTGTCCGATCCTTTTGTTGCTCTCTCTGGAGTGCCACAGGGCTCTCATCTTGGACCGCTTCTATTCTCCCTGTTTGTCAATGATGTTGTGGATGTACTTGACTCCAACTGTCTCCTGTTTGCAGACGACTTGAAGATTTTTAGAACTGTTCGCTCTAGTGAGGACTGCCTTCGACTTCAGCAATGTCTTCGGCGTGTTGAAGATTGGTGCACCATAACTGCATGAGGCTCAACGTTAAAAAGTGTGTGGTGGTAACATATAGTAGAGCTAGAAGGCCTGTGGATTATAATTTACTGCCTAAGCAACCTGCCCCTCGCTAGAAGTGACAACATTCGAGATCTGGGTGTTGTACTGTCTGCGGATCTGAGTTTCTCACGCCATATTGAGGAAATTTATTCTAAGGCCACCAGGATATTGGGACTCATCATGAGATCCTCTAGATGTGGTCTGAGTATAGAGGCGCTTCGCACACTGTACATTTCTTTGGTGAGGTCAAGACTTGAGTATTGTAGCTCTATATGGTCACCCCACCAACAGTGCTACATTGATCGTCTGGAGAGCGTCCAGTGCCGATTTCTACGTCTTATTGGGTGTAGGATGGGTTACATGTACCGGGATGTACCTACCCATGACATCAGAAGGTTTCTTGGACTTGATACCCTGGCCAAGAGGAGGGAAATCAGTGATGCCATGTTCCTGTTCAAGATACTAAATGGACGAATCAACTGTCCTGATCTGCTTGCGCTGATTGACCTGCATGTTTCCCCACCTAGATCCACTCGTTCCAATGTGATGTTTGCTCGCCAACACTGGTCCACGAACTATGAACTTTATAGCCCTCTTTCTAGACTGCATCGACTCGGCAATCGGCTCTGTCACTATGTGGACTTCTTTGACTGCTGTCCACGGGTTGTCAAGAGGATTGCGTCTTCGGTTCTTGAGGAACAGTAATCTCGTTCTGCTGTGATTTAATTGTACAGGTCTTGTGTAATAATTTAATTCTTTGTCAATGCTTCCTTATCAATGCTCCCTAGTCATTATTGCCGTCTGTCACTAGTTTATTGATATTGCTTGTACTATTGATGTAGTATTATCTCTCTTGTTATCTCGTTGCATGTTTTCTTGTAGTATTTTATCGACTGTTATTGTTTCCAAATTTCTACCTATTGTTATGCTTGCTATTCAACTAGTTTTTCTTTTTCTATTAGCATGTGATGTTAGTATTGATTTGATGTATGTATTATCTTTCTGTTATCTAGTCGCATGTTTTCTTGTAGTATTTATCGATTGTTATTGTTACCAATTCTATCCATTGTTATGCTTGCTATTTAACCAGTTTTTTTCCATTAGCATGTGATGTTAGTCCCTATCTGCCTTTCAATAAATCCTGCAAAATAACAAAAAAAAGTAAAAGAGCATGAGAAAAGGCAGAAGGGAAGAAAATTTAATTAGGATCTTTCAATATTGTATCTGATCAGCATGTCAACCCTGTAAAAATGATGTTATACCGTATACAAATAAATAAATAAATAAATAAAGGACGAATGGCTGAAAAGTCGTCTGCATACACTCAAATGGCTTCTTACTAACTAGTTCAATGTGAACATTTATGCTATTTCTGGTGTTGTAAGAATATATATTATTATTATTATAAACAAGATCACATTAATATTACATGTATGAAAACCCCTACTGATGTACTAACGTTTCAGTCATTGCGCCAGTTTGAGTAAAAATAAGTTTACATCTTTGCACTACCCTAATCATTTTTGCAACGTGTAATTTTAAAGTTTTTTTAACAAATATGTTAATTTTGAAAGTTTTACGGACAGCAAATCTAATTCGTTGTTCGAAGTTAAATTACTATCAATCATTGAACCTAGTCATTTTATATATTTTACAAATTTATCTGGGCATGCACGCTTAAAGGGAAAATACAGCTTGAAGTGTTCTATACAAACTCATCCAATTTCACATTTTGCTTTTTTTACCACCAGTAATAAAGAATGTGTCAGTAGAAAACATTATGGTTTTCGACTATTTTACAGCAGATCGTTTACCAAAACGATAAATAATACTGGCCTTGAAACAGAACTCTGTAGCACACCAAATTTAACTTGGGAAGCAAATTGTTTACTACCAAAAACATAAATAATTTAAGACCTTTTTTCAGGTACGACCAAAACAAAATCAATCTGCACACCACTAATCCCCGAGCACTTTAATTTTTGACGAATAATCAAATGGCCAACCTTATAAATAGCACTGCTCAAGTCCCAAATACTGATCTTAAAAGACTTGAATTCTTAAATAAAAGTGTTGATTGCAACATCGACCATAGAAAAAACTGAGTTTGTAGTATTTTTACCCACTTCATAGCCAAATTTGTAAACACTTATATTATTATTTGTAAAGACTTAGCCGATTGAAGTAGGAAATTAGGCTACCTGGAGATTCAAAAACTGTTCAAAAGTCTATAAAAATCTCTATAAAAGTACTACAACTGACACTATAGAAATCAGATTGGTCACTATCAGGTCGGTAATAATAATAATAATAAAAATAATAATAATCCCGGTAACTTGACGGTACAGATTTTTCTCCGCTACACCCCTACTACTACAACATAGCACAAAGTGGCATGTTATCTACTTATGTTTTATGCATCATTAGTATCAGTATTATCTTTCTTAGTAATTACCTATTTTTATTGTACTTTCAGATTGTTCATCATCAAAAATTGTAAACCAAATCCTGTTCTTTGCCTGACCACAAAATACCAACCTCATTGCCAAGCAAGAGTCATACAGGCATATTTCCAATCTTGCATATAGTGGATAGTTCTCAAAAATGTAATGTAAAATGTCAACATTGTTTGTTTATTTGTTATTACAAAATTATTATTGTATATTTATTAGTGTGATTAGTGTGCCGTATTGTTAAAACTAAGTTAAAAACTACATAAATTAATGAGGCAATTTAAAGAAATAAGGTCCCTGAAGATAAGGATCATTAATTAATTAATATTTATAAGAAGGAAAAAAAGATTGTGATGGTTGTCTAAAGAAGATTTGACAGGAAAGGATGATGAGTCACTATGGATAATTTCATACAATAATTTTATCATTTACTTGCTTGCAGGAATTTAAAAACTTTCTAAAAAATCGTAAATACACGAAATATAATTATATTGTGTCAATCTCAAAAATCTTTTGGGTGGGATAGTCTAGCTCCATCCACAATCAAAGATATCATACAAGATCATACTTTTCACCCCCAAGTATTCCTTCACAAACCCACCTGAGTTGTAGCGAACAGATAAACCATAATGTCTCCATCACATTCCCAAGCGGGAGGTAATTGGTTGATTAGGGGTATACTGGGCGGGCTTATTGGGTTGGCAACAATGAAACATTTGTTGCCAGCCAATAACGGTTGGCAAAACTGATAAAGTCACAGGGGGTGGCGGGGGGAGGAGCCCCTCTAGATTTATTAATGAGCCCGTTGTCTCACAGCGCTTTTGTTCCGGCATTCATTTTCCACGTTGTGCTTTGTGCATCCCTGTGCTGCACGTCAGTTTTTTGCGCGCACTGGTTGATTAATTAAAAAACAAGGGGAGGGGGAGCCACTTTGCTCTAATTAACGACATAGATAGACCGATGCGTCCCGTACCGTCTTGGTCCGACAGCGCCGGTCTATTGTGTTCCAAACGACATCAGAAGCCTTGTGTTCTTTTTAAGGATTTTACCGGATTTCGTTTTTTGATTAACTAATGAGTAATGCGCCGACTTTTCGGGACTCGAAGCGTTAAAAGCTTTTAATTACGGCTTTGAGTTCCCGTACGCGTTTGAGGATTATGGATACTAACTCTTCATAATAATATTATTGCTGAAAATGATTTCCAGTGGGACGAACTCAACGTGGAATAATAGAGTTTTGGTTAACAATCTCCGTCGTTTTGTTCTAGTTTTTTACGCACATGTAAATATTCATGGAAACGAGTTCCAAGACATCTTTTTAAACTTAACCTATGTATTCTCGTCTATTAGGTCAATGTTGTCCTCCCAAATCAAAGTACGGTATTGAATGGTTTCCATGGCTTCCATGGTTTCCATGGCAGCATAGTAAAATACTGTGTTTATTAATTGTTTTGAAACTGTTACTGTATTATAAATGTTTTGTCACACTGCAGTAAAACAGAAAAATGCGTTGTGGGTCTAAAGTAGCTCTTTTATTCCCTGGCGAGTAAATAGTATATTTCATAACAAGAGTAGAAAGTGTGTCATTACATAGTTATTTGAGACCATGTTTGCAGTGCGAGATTTATCGAGCACTCAAAATTGTCGAGAATATGTATAAACCCACTTTCACTCGTGTTTTGAACGTTAATTTTTGCTACTCTACGAAATTAGTGATCGAAAATCGCTAACTGTGGTTGACATTAATATAAAATAAAACTTAATAATCAATATATTAAGGTTGGCCTATTTTAAGTACTAAGCAAAACGCTATAGGAGTCGACTGGTTGGAATGTCGTATGTCGTCATTAGTTGAGTATTGATATGGTCAAAGATTCAGCATAGATTTAAAGTAGGTTCGCTGCCTTCAAAATTAAAATCTTTTCCGTTACAAAAAAACTATTATTATCTTGGGTTTATGGGTGAAATAATTGTTGTAAAATGTTATACGGTTCAATTTATTGCGAGATTTTTTCCCTTAACACCTGGAACTGTATATAATTGTTCACGATCAAAATGCGCTTCTCTTGATGTTTACTAAATTTTAAGCCATTGTTTCTTTAGTTTCATGCATACTATATCCCACCATGTATTCAAACTGATCAGCCGTTAGATCGGCATCAGCCAACAAATCTGAAATGTAAAAAATATATACACTAATTTTACCACTTCAAACATGCTCATCAAAATCAAGCAAGGTACATAATTCAATTCTTTCGTTTGGTATTATAAATGATTAAGTACGTAAACCTTACGATTACACATGAAAAACGCAAAATCCCTCCTTTACGCAAAGCGTTCACTTTTGTGTCTTCCTTTTGTGTAATTTCGAACGCGTTATTCCTTCTGCGCGTATAACAATAACGGAACGGATTTGTTAAGATTATTTTCATCTCGGAGTGAAGGCCCGAGGAGGAGGACCGGGGGGAGGGGGTAAGGGTGTTTCGAATATGAAATGAGATAGTCATCGTCTAACAAATCAGATCCCGCCATTGCCGGCGTTGTCCCCCCCCCCTCCCCTTCGCTCTTGGATGTCATCAGGTCTATATAATTACAGCTCCCGAGCTTTTCACAAATTGCGACAATGCGAACTCGACCTCTTTTGAAATGTTTTTAATAATAGCATCAGAAAAATGAGGAGAAACACGCCTCGATTTTGTGTTTTGTTTCGAAGGGTCGTTTCTGTGTAGGGACGTATAGGCTGTTGAGTGATAAGAAACGGGTTTGTAGATTTTTAAGTACTCGCACTTGAGTGGCATAATTGAATTAAAGAGTAGGCCTAGTGATAAAATATAACAGATTTTTGGGATTGGTGAGTACTGAGGCTTTTTTATAAATCACGAACTTTTTTAATGGGAAAGCTGTCTAATTTCCCTAAGATTTCTTCTGGGGATTAACGAGGTCACTTTTGCACCAATGTCCGAGATACTTACATAGAACCATCAACAGCTACATATAGGCACATCCATCCCCATTATTGTTGTGGTTACATCTCATGCTGATGCCCACTAGATCAACGATATTTGGAAGTTAGTACATACATACATAGTATACATTAATCTTTAAAATTACGTCTTATTTTGTTATTTTCCTTTTTTAATCATCAATCATTCTATAAATTTAGAGAGATAGCCCCTCTTATTTATTTAGGTTCTTTGCCAGTTTTGACAATATATCAATTGATATGTCTGTTTGTTTCAGAGTTGTTGGTTT